GAATTTAACAGAATCAGGAATTTGAGAGCACAGAAAAAGAAAAATAACACCAAAAACATAGTCTAATTCCCATATTTTACTTGCATAATCTTTAGTAAAAACTGTACTATTTATTTTTAGGCAGTACTTTATTACTTATAGAAACTTTTTGCATTTTACTTAATACCTGTGGCTATGCGATTTCTAATTGAACACCTCTGTGAAAGAAACCTTATTATTATCTGAAAGAGATCTAGAATGCCATACAGTTTTAGCACAAAGTTATTTCAGTGAATCAAAGTTCTTCTCCTTTAAATTTATTCTTATATGTCATATTCTATGCCAGAGGTCAATAGACAGTATCATTGCAAGTACACATTCAGACTCAGAAATGTACATGCCTCCAACAATTACAGACAATATTTTTCTGATATATATCTCACATGTATCTATCTATATCTATCTCTATAGAGCACTAATTTTGGTGAAAGAAATACATTAATTTTATCATGTTTAAGTCTTTTCAGACCCTATACCTTCATGACTTGAATGAATTACCTCTCATTCGATCTTGTTTTAACAAACAGATTCTGTACCCGCTCCTGAATCTGCTTGGTCCTGATGCCATAAATAACTGGGTTGAGGGCAGGGGGTATGACTACATAGAGATTAGCCAGAAGGATATGGATATACTGGGGGATGTTGTGACCAAAGCGGTGAGTGAGGAAAGAGAAGAGAGCTGGACCAAAGAAGGCAAAGATAACACAAATATGGGAGCTACAGGTATTCAGAGCTTTCAGGCGGGCATCTTGGGAAGGGAGGCAGAAGACAGCATATAAGATCCTAGTATAGGAGATAATGATAAGAAGCACATCCAGAAACAAGATAGAAATATTCCCAAGACCATAGTAGACATTGACATTAATGCTAGCACAAGCTAGACGTGCCACTCCCATGTGCTCACAATAGGTATGAGGGATGATTCTGTGTCCACAGTAAGGCAGCCTCAGGAGGAGAAAAACGATGGGAACAATCATGCATAAGCTTCTTAGTACCACTACGACAGCAATCACACCAATCACTCTGTTGGTAAGAATCATGCTGTACCTGAGGGGGTTGCAAATAGCCACATAGCGATCAAAACCCATGGCAAGAAGTACAATACTCTCCATGACTGTAAAAAAGTGGATAAAAAACACTTGAGCAACACAGCACCCAAAGCACAGTTCGTGAAGCCTGAACCAGAAGATCCCCAGCATCTTGGGGATGGTAGTAGTAGAGAGACTTAGGTCAATCACTGACAGCATGGCCAGAAAGTAGAACATGGGTTGGTGAAGGCTACAATCAACCCAGATAACAAACAGAATGATAACATTTCCAACAAGAGCAATCAGATATACAACACAGAAGGGAAATCCAAGCCAGATTTGTGCAACTTCCAACCCGGGAATCCCCAGCAATAGGAATGAAGAAGGATGGGATTCAGTGACATTGGGTGAAGACATTCTTCTGCAGGCTGATTTGGTGTGATTTTTAAAAGTTGTTGCTGGTTCCAACTGGACAATTCATCCACAATTAACTGAATCTATCAAAAATTAAAAATAAAAATATTCCTCAATAAAGCATTCATAATGAGAATAAGTTTTTCTAAAGGGCTTTGATTCTTTCCCCCTTTTAAGCTCTCCATAAATAATCCCAGTATCACTCCTGACCTGCAACCATAAGTGTGAAAGAATGTAGAAGCTAAATTTGCGTCTTTCCTAAAATGATGGGTTCAAAGGAATTAAATGAACTAATTTTCCTGTTCATGAAGAAATAAATACTATTAGGAGGTAATAAAACTGATAATAATAATAGCCAGAACAATAATCATGGCTATCATTAATTGAGTATCTACAATTTTTCAGACATTGTTGCCATTATTTGCATATATTGTCTCATTTGGTTCTGTCCTACACAGTTCTGTGACACAAGTTCTACTGGTATCTGGTTTATGGAAGATAAAGATTTGGTAAGTTCATTAACTTCTCATTTCTTCCAAAGCTAATAAGCAGCAGAATCCAGATGTGAAATTAGGTGAAACTAAACTTTATGACACTGATGTGGACCTGTCTTTGCAAACTTGTTAGTGAAAGTAGCGAAAGGAGAAAGAAAGATAAGTGGTGGGGAAATAAAGGACCTAGAATAACCAAACTACCTCAAAGAAGAATAAATCTGGAAGATTTTCATTACCAAATATTGAGATTTTCTATAAACTATGATGATTATGGCAGTGTTACTGTTAAAAAAGAAAAAAAAAAAAGAGATAATGGAACAGAACTGAGAATCTAGAAGGAGACCCCCGTAATTCTTAGAGTCCAGATATCTAAAATTAAGGTATGCCCAAATTGGAATTTAAGATATTTTGGCAAGGGAGAAGTGAAGTTTCTTCCCCATATGAAGTTCTTTCTGAAGAACCGGTTGACTTCTGTAAATAGTGAGAGCAAATCTGATCAGCTTCCTGGAGCTGGCTAAACCACAAAGTTGAGGGCACAGTTCCTGAGACTGTCCTGACTTCTAACATCAACTGCAAGTTCAGGAAGTTTCCCAATCTACCGCCAGGTTCACTAACCTACTAGAATGACATTGAAAGCTATTACACTCATGGTTACAGTTTACTATAGGGAAAGATTAAAATGAGAAATCAGACAAAGGAAGAGATGCTGATGGGAGAGTGTGAGGTTTGCAAATGTATCCATTGTCCTCCATTGTCCTCCCTCATGGAGTCAGAATGAGTTATCCTCCTGGCATTAATGTGTGACAATATGCATAGAGTTATATTACCAACCAAGGTGGCTCACCTGAGTTTTGGTGTCCAGATTTTTTGCTGGAGCTTCATTATGTATATATGATTGATTGATTGCACACATGGTTGAATTCAATCCCCAGATTGGTTGATGCCACATGACCCAAAGTCCTCACCCTAAGTTATACTGTTGATATTTATGGTGTGGTCAGTCCTTACACTAAGATATAGTTTGAACAACCCCTACCCTAAACTCCTATCAGATATGACTGATAACTTTCTAGAAGCCAAAAACAAAGGCCAGACCTCTCTTTGGGTAAGGCAAAATTCCTCACTATACTTCTATTCATTTTGTTACAAAGATACTTTTTTGTTATTGTTGTAAATTATGCTTTTCACCTCTTGGCTTATCTTGGCTCATGGCATCAATCATGAATTTGGGTCTCCCAATAATCAAGTTTGAATTCAATTTCAATCCTTTTGAAATATAAAGCATGGAGAGAGGAAGAGAGACCAATAGCTGATTACCATGTTGTGTCCTTTTTTATATCAAGGGTATGTGTGGAATCAATCCAATTATAAGGGAGTTCAAACTCATTATTCTATCCTTTTATGGATATGGCTTTTTTTTTTTAACTTTGTGTCTCACTCACTATCAAACCAGTATGGGAAAAAGAAGCAGAATTAGACAGCATGTAATATCAATGCCACCATGGCATTGTGGCATGGGATGGAATCCTGATTCTATTCTTGCTAGCCTTCTGACCTTAGGTAAGTCACATCATATTCTGTATTTCAGTTTCATCCAGAAATAAGCATAGTACTATCTATCTCATATTATTATTGAGTTGAGTAGACGAGGTTATATATGACTGAAACATTGCAGGATATGTCCTCTCCAATCTTAATCTTCTTCCTATCTTTCCCCAGACCAATGATCTATAACCTTCCCCATCCCAGTACTCTAGGTCTTAACTCAATTTCTGTGAAACGAATTTCAATCTTAAACACACACTGTAGACTCACTGATCACAAACACTTACCAAGTTTCCTATGTTCCGTCTTAGGAAGTCACTTAGCAATTGTGAACTTAATTATTGAAATTATGTATATATATATATATATATACACCCTTTATATGCCCTAAGAGGTGTTAACAAAATGTCCTTGTGTGTGTGTGTGTGTGTGTGTGTGTTGGGGGGATTTGTAATGAAGTCTCCAGGTGCCAGGGAGTCTGAGGCATTGAAATGAACATCAATAGGTGTTCTCTTTTGTCATTAAACCCGCTGCAGAGAAGCTCTAGGGAAATCTGAGTGAACTTTGCTGTCTGGTATTTGGTCAATTGTCAGTTCTTGTTACTTCACATAATATATAAAACAGGTAGTATTTTATCTTTTTCTCTCCTTCCTTCTTCCCTATTCTGTATTTTCAGTCTATGAAATGCTTGGACTAAGTCTTTTTTGGGTATCTATATAACCAGCAATTCTTTTTTTTTTTTAAATTGTAAAATATACATAAGAGTATCATTTTAACCCTTTTAAACTTTGCACTTCAGTGGCACTTGGTACATTCACAACATTGTACAGCTGTTACCACTATCTAGTTCTATAAAATTTCATCAATTCAAAAGGAAATCCTGTGCCTATTAATCAATCACTTCCCAGTCTTTCAGCTCCAGGCAGCAGATTAGATATGATCTCAAATTTCTCTCAATAGTTACAAAAGTCAACAGCTATTGAAAAAGAACTTCATATGGGGAAGAAATTTCACGAATTAACATTCACTTTTGTCAACTTATCTTAAATTTCTACTTGGGGAAATAAGACGTTAAAAGGTGGTCTATAAATGCAATGGAATATTGTCCATTCTTTAAAAGGAAAGAAACCTTTCGATTGCAACAACATAGATGAATCTGTGGACATCATACAAAAGTGAAATAAGCCAGTCACATAAAGACAAATATTACACAATCTCAGTTTATATGAAATCTTAAAAGAAAAAAAAAGCCAATCTCACAGTAACACAAAGTAGAATGGTGGTTACTAGAGACTGGGATATCAGTAAAGAGGAGAGATTTTAAAAAATTAGAATGAGGGCCTGGCTGGCTCAGTGAGTTAAGTGTCCCAACTTCAGCTCAGGTAATTATCTCATGGCTCATGAGTTCATATCCTTCATTGGGCTCTCTGATGTCAATTCAGAGCCCGCTTGGGATCCTCTGTCTGTCTGTCTGTCTCTCTCTCTCTCTCAAAATATGTGAATAAACATTTATTAAAAAGGGGGTGCTTGGGTGACTCAGTCAGTTAAGTGTCTGACTATTGGTTTCAGCTCAGGTCATGATCTAATGGTTTGTGATTTCAAGCCCTGTATCAAGCTCTGTGCTGACTGTGCAGAACTTGCTTTGGATTCTCTCTCTCTCTCTCTCTCTCTCTCTCTCTCTGCCCCTTCCTCCACTTATTCTCTCTCTCTCCCTCTGATAAATAAACATTTTAAAAAGTTTTTTAAAAAAGTAGGATGGTAATTACCAGAGATGATGAGAAGGGGCCTTGGAGAAATAATTAAATGGGGACAGATTTTCAGCTTTGGTTAAATGAAAAAGTTCTGGAGATAGTAGTTATGGTTGTACAACAACACGATTGTATTTAATTTAAACTTTACACTTAAAAATGGTTAAGATAGTAATCTTTGTTATGTTTATTTTTATTTTTATTTTGTATTTATTTTGTGTATTTTATTTTTACCACAATAAAAAAATAGAAAAAAATGAAAAATGGAAAAGGTAGGAAACACTAAAAAGTGTATGTTATATAAACAGCATACACTAATATGAAATTACAAGAGACATAGAGATCATATCTGAGTGATTCATACAGAAGACCATGATGGAGAATACAGTATTGAGAAAGAGTAGGTATGTATTACAATGTGAAATATTGCCAGTTCCTTCAAAGATCTCACATTATTATAACAATTAAAGGCATGGATATCACCTATGATGAATCTCAAAACAATATCTTATACTGAGAAAGTTATTCAGGGGCTCCTGGGTGGCTCAATTAGTTGGGTGTCCAACTCTTGATTTCAGCTCAAGTCATGATCTCATGGTTTGGTGAAATGAAGCCCCTTGTCAGGCTCTGCTCCGAGTGTGGAGCCTGCTTGGAATTCTCTCTCTTGCTCTCTGTCTCTGTCCCTCCCCCACTCACTCACACTATCTCTCTCTCTCAAAATAAATAAGTGAACATTAAAAAATTAAAAATTATTTAAAAAGACAGTTACTCAATTACCTCTGGAAAGAAGAGAATCTCTAATGTTTGTAATCAACTACTCCTAGTAAGACCACCAGCACACCATCCATAGCACTCTAGCACACATATAGAGTTCTTCCATCTTTCTAAGACCTTGATAAGAGAAGATCATAAAGAAAGTGAAATACCTACACCTTAACAGGAATTCAATGACACTTGCTGGGAGAATGACTTCCATCAATGACACCCAGTTCCATCCCCCCTTCTTTCACCTGCTAGGAATCCCAGGACTGGCAACGGTACATATCTGGATCGCTTTCCCATTCTGTATTGTGTACCTGATTGCCCTTGTGGGGAACATCACCATTCTCTTTGTGATCAAGACTGAACGCAGTCTCCACCAACCCATGTTCTACTTCCTGGCCATGTTGTCTATGATCGATCTGGGTCTGTGTACGTCCACCATCCCCAAAATGCTGGGCATCTTCTGGTTCAACCAACAAGAGATCAGCTTTGGGGGCTGCCTTGCCCAGATGTTCTTTATCCATATGTTCACAGGCATGGAGACTGTTCTCCTGGTGGCCATGGCTTATGACCGCTTTGTTGCCATCTGCAACCCTCTCCAGTACACCATGATCCTCACCAAGAAAACCATCATCATCCTAGCTTCTGTTGTTGTTGGAAGAAATTTAATCCTTGTGACTCCATTTGTGTTTCTCATCTTGAGGTTGCCCTTCTGTGGGCATCACATCATCCCTCATACGTACTGTGAGCACATGGGTCTTGCCCGGTTAGCCTGTGCACCCATCAAGGTCAACATTATCTATGGGCTCATGGTGATTTCTAATATCATTGTGGATGTGGTCCTGATTGCCTCCTCCTATGTACTTATCCTTCGAGCTGTTTTCCGCCTTCCTTCTCAAGATGTCCGACTAAAGGCTCTCAATACCTGTGGTTCTCATGTCTGTGTCATGCTGTGCTTTTACACACCAGCGTTTTTTTCTTTTATGACACACCGTTTTGGTAGAAACATTCCCCGCTACATCCACATTCTTTTGGCTAATCTTTACGTGGTTGTCCCGCCTGCCCTTAATCCAGTCATCTATGGAGTCAGGACCAAACAGATCCGAGAGAGAGTTGTGAAGATATTTCTACAGAAATAATAGTTCTGTGTCAACTTTTGGAAAATATATCCACATACTACCCACATTTTAATAATCTGAGCTCTGCTTTAAATTTCCTATTAGAGCAGATTGTGGTAGTCAGATTTTTATTTTTTATTGGCATTCATTTAGAGTTGAAAGATAAGGCAAAGTGCTTCCCACTCTACTCACCCACCCCATGAAACTGGACAAAGGGCAAGTGCTGATGGATAAAGAAGATGTCCTGGAGGTAGCAGTGGTTTGGGAGAAGAATGGCAGATGGGAAAGAATGAGAATTTTCCCCATTTCTCCATGTGTCTTCTCTTTAGGTAAGTTTAGACCCTGAAGGTACACTGATCCAGTAATCTCATTTTGTAGATAAAGAAAATAAGTGTAAGCCATGGCTTGGTGACAGTGTCTAAATTAGTTGCATCGGTTCCATAGATATTCTGTATATTAAAACCTCAAGTTTTATCTTCCTTCTCTAGAGTCATTGCTCATTTTATTTAAATGTTCCCCCTGTCTTGTTCTTACTGCCATCTTTGCTCCCTTTCTTTTTTCTAATCTAATTCTTCACATTTTATCTCTTCCTACATCTCTCCCTTTTCTCCTCCCCCACCTTCCTTCTCTCCCTCTCTTTTTATCTTTATCTCTATCTCTTCTTCACTTTTTCTCCAATAAATCAAGCATCTGTAAATTGAGGAATATAAGAGACTACAGTTTAGACATTAAGGATATATGGTATTATTTTATATGATAGTGGGAAAATTCAATGTAAAAGTAATAGTGTACATAATGTGGAATGGGTTCATAATAATGGCGCTCCTGAGATGAACCATGAGCAAACTGCTTAGACCTGGCTCAGCAGAGTCCCTGTCCTAGGCTCCCTTCCTAGGGGACTTTTTTGCTTTGGAGTAGCTTCCTCAAAATTTTTAAAGTTTGTTTTTGGTACATGGGACTGGTTGGGGACAGCAATGCTGTCTGACAGAGTGCCCTGAGCCTAGACCAAACACACATGAACCCAGTCCTCAATTCTCTTATTTAGAGAACTCTGTGACTCTCTTTTTCCTGTACCCACCAGCTTGTGAAATCAGCCATTTGGCTAAAAAAGCTTTGTGACCCATATCTATGAGGTTGTCCTGAGAGCTCATGGCTAGGACCTGGTTTCAGTAGAGTAGCTTGGTGAACAGATAAGATTTTCTGGACAGTGAAGTGTCTCTTTCATGGAATTCCAGGAGATGGAGCCATCACAATAGTGCTGGCATGCTGATTGGAGGTGACCCTCACTCATTACTTTACACATACATAGGAGGAGTTCAGGGCTCTGATTTAACCAATGGTTCTCTCCTGAACCTTGGGCTTGAGCTATGTGTTAGAGCTGTTCACTGACTCCCACCCATTTATGTTCAAACTTTCATGCTGCCTCCTAGCTACAGCACACAAGGGTGGCAGTGGGAGCAGCAGACATCCTCTATCTCACCACCTCCTCTACCGTGGTATTTGTACCCAGAATGATTATCCCACCCCCTACCCCCATAGGCTCCACCACTAGCCACCAGGTATTCCTCCAGAATTGCTTGCATCTACTACTCCAGAGTCTTTTGAGACCACTGCTCTGCAATGCCATTGGGTATTTTCAATCTATGTCCTATTTTATTTCTAATTGATATGATGACATGCTTTCTTGAGTCAATGTTAAGTGATGTCAGATGAGGTAGGGGCATTCCTTGTATGAATGGGAATGTTCTCACTCTGCCCATGTGTCTCACCTATTCTCCAAGCTGGTGACACTGTGTGAAAGGGAACAATGCAATCAGAATAGAAAAAGATAACTTTCTAGATATACAGTGATTAGGGCCTAATATATCAGGTGGCTGAAAGATGTGTTTTTCTACATTAATGTTATAAAATTCAAAAAAATAAATTTAACATGAACAGAAAAAAACTATCATGCACATTTTCCTGAATGGTCTGTTTAAGCCTAACATTTATGGTCATCATCAATGAAGGACAAAAAGAACCTTTGAGAGAATAATTAGAAGCTGTTATTCATTAGTACAATGGGTGATGCCTCATCTTAAGTAAGGGTGCAATCAGCATTAAATAATTTGGATTTGAAAATGCCAGAAGCCAAGACAATCTACTTTGTTTTGAAGAGCTTTGGCATTGTAAGTAATAACAGTGTTAGTACCTTCCCTTTGTGGCAGGAGAAATTAAATGGCCAGAAATGGTCTGTTTGACAATTTTAAAAACATGAAAAGAAAATTAATGTAATGGAATAGAAAGAAGAAATTGCCTGGAAACTACAAAAAATTTTCATGTGCAGTGATTGAACAACAACCAAGTATATAATTAATTCTCTACCTATTATCATAAATCTTCATTGATAAATTATTATATATCAAATAGGAACATGAATTTTATAATACATTTATAGTCAAATTGTTAATATATTTAGAAACTTCACAAAAATATTTGTCCAGGCACTGCATACAGTGTAGGGAAGTTCCTGCATATATTTTTATATCTAGCCTCAGTGTGCCCAACTTCTAACTTCCTTTTGCTGGACCTGGAGCACTATCCCAATGTCCAGGGAATAATCCGTATGTAGTTTGAATATTGGTTTGTACATGAAACTGTATGCACACCTGCTTATGTTTGTGTTAAATATGGTATAAATGTACTAGTGTCTGTGAATATTAAATGCATTTACATGTGCTTATTATTAAATATTTATGACATAAGAAAAATATACAAAAGATTAAAATAATTGAGGAAATGATGAGAAAAATACAATAAGTCTATGTTCAATTATATTTTATCAGATTAAATGTTCCGAGACAATGCTGTTTTTTATAAACCTCCTCAGCCCTCCCAGACATTCCTTCTTCTTGGGAATCTTTTATGCATCACCTGGTACTTTACAGAATGTAGAAGCCAGTCTAGCTCATTGAATACCAGTACTATTTATCTCTAATCTTGTTAGAAGCATTCCAAAACCTTAGAAGCAGGCATAACTCAATCTCACATAAAGAAGTAAACGTTCATGAAATTTAAACCAGATACAATATCTTCTCAAATCTGTTTCAACATTGACCTACTAAGTGGTTTATCAATCCATAAATCATGATATTTAGTCAGATACTCTTGTGAGAATCAATATTTCATTATAGCTTCAATTTCCATTTTCCCATGACAAATAATATTGTTCATATGCTGAGCACTCACCATTTTAAATCTTTTGTGAAATGCGTTAGTCTTTTCCAAGAACTACAAAATTAGCTACTTTGAGAACTATTTCAGTGTAGTTCAAAAGTCTTTGAGAAATTGGTGTTCACAGGAAAAACTGTGTATGGCAAAAGTAAAACAATAAGACCAGTAAAATTATATATAACATCTCTACATATGAAATATCATATAGTATATACGGTATATTATATAGAGTAAAATTAAGTTTAAATAGAGGAATCTTCAGGAAAAGATAGGTCTGTTTCTTGGCTATATTAGTCAGAGTTTTGGAAAAAATAGTTGGCAAACACAATCCGGGCCCCTTAAATTACAACAAACTATTGGCACAGTATAGGGAAACCATAGGAATGATAGGGATAGTGCAGGTGAAGGATATGTACAACTTCTTGGCCTGAAAACAAGGAGTTGTTTTTGGAATCTGGATACTCAGAGAGCCTTATGAAGAAGGCTGCCTGATAGGAACTGAGATTTGTTTTAAAGGACTCATCCAGCCCATAATGACCTTCATGTCACCTGCAAGGAGAGAGCAGGTTGAAACCGAAATATCCTAACTTTACTCCTGTCCTATCCTCTAATGGCACTTTCTATTTTTTGAACCCAACCAGATGCCAAAGGACAAGGGAGGATATTGATGCAGTGTATACTTGTGAGTACTCCAGGATACAGACTATTGAGTGGTCCTGGAGCAGCAAAGAGAAGATATCCAGCACACTGCCCCATAAAAATAAAGAGCTGGAGGAAAATTCTGAACAAAATCTTCAAAGCCTTCATGCTTTTATATTTCTCTTTCAATTACTACTTTATATTCATTTAAAAAATTTTTTAATGTTTTATTTATTTCTGAGAGAGAGAGAGAGAGAGAGACATGCAGTGTGAGCAGGGGAGGGTTAAAAAGAGAAGGGGACACAGAATCTGAAACAGCCTCCAGGCTCTGAGCTAGTTGTCAGCACAGAGCCCGACGTGGGGCTCGAACCCACGAACTGTGAGATCATGACCTGAGTCGGATGCTCAGCCGACTGAGCCACCCAGGCGCCCCTATATTCACTTTTTAGGATTATATCTGAGTTATCAAATACTGTCTCTTTTTATTTCTTTTCAACTTATTATTTAAAAAATAGTCCACATTCAGTGCACTACTGGTTTCAGAAATAGAATTCAGTGATTCATCATTTACATACAACACGCAGTGTTCATCATAACAAGTGTCCTCCTAAATACCTGTCACATCACCCATCTAGCTGACCCCCACCCACCTCCCTCCATTAACCCTCAGTTTGTCCTCTATCATTAAGAATCTCTCATGGTTTGTCTCCCCTCTCTCTTTTTCCCCCTCCCATATGTTCATCTGTTTTATTTCTTAAACTCCACATATGAGTGAAATTATATGGTATTTGTCATTTAATGACTGATTTATTTCACTTAGCATAATACACTCTAGCTCCATCCACATTGTTGCAAATGGCAAGATTTCATTCTTTTTGATCACTGAGTAATATTCCATTGTGTGTGTGTATACAGAATAGAATATTGTGCAATATATATATATATATATATATATATATATATATGTCACATCTTCTTTGTCCATTCATCAGTTGATAGACATTTGGACTCGTTCCACAATTTGGCTATTGTTGATGGTGTTGCTATAAACATCAGGGTGCATGTGCCCCTTCAAATAAACATTTTTGTATCTTTTGGATATACCAAATAGTATAATTGCTGAGTCACTGGGTATTTTTAGTTTTAGTTTCCTTTCTGAGGAAACTCCA